CGACAACCCGCTACCAGCATCGCGCCTCCCGCCCCGCGAAATATGTCCCGCGGCGGGAGGGACGTGGAACGGGGACGGAGCGTCCCGGGGAAACGTTGACCCGGAAAAAATGGCCCGGGGAGGGGATCGTCCCGGGGGGCATTGCCGGGGGTGCGGGCAGTCTGGGAAGGGGCTGAGGGGTGACGTGGGGGTATTTCTGCAGGGGGTCCGTGCTGGGGTATCGCCCCAGCTGGGACAGCCTAGGGGTGTGTTTCCCCATGGGGAGCATGGCCTGGGAGTATAGCCTCGGTGTGGGGGGACAGCGATGGGTTTATTGCTTGGGGGGTGCCCTGGGGTATAACCCTGGGGCGGGCACGGTGTGGGGGTATGGCCCATGGGGGCACAGCGTAGGTATATTGCCCCTGGTGGGACACAACCTGGGCTTATTGTCCTGGAGGAAGAATGCTGGGGGGTATTAGGGCAGGTGGGAAGGAGGGGTAGGGTGGGAGCACCCCAGGGTGCACAGCCTTGGTGGCAGCACCTGGGGGACATGTGGGGACCCCCCACCCGGCCACACCGTGTGGTCCCGGTGCCCCCGCGCACCCAAGCAGCAGCAGCAGCCCCGGCACAGCCCAAAGCCGTTTATTCACCAGGGGCGGCGAGCACGGCGCCGGGGGCCGTGTCCGACAGGTATATAAATATAGAGGCGGTCCATGTGTCCTATGTATATATGTACAGGCAGGGGGGGATGACACCTTCAGGGGTGCCAGGAGGCGCCGCGGCGGGCGCGRGGCGGCGCGGCGTTGAGCGCGGCCACGCTGCGGCGGCTCGAGGCCACCACGTCGGCCACAAAGCCGGTGCAGTCGGTGCAGACGTCGCGGAGCAGGGCGCCCTGCGCGTACATGTGCGGGAACTCGTCCTCCACGCGGCGCCCACCGGCGCCGGGCAGCGAGCTGTGGGCACAGACAAGAGCCATCAGCTGCATGCCGCAGCACGGTGCCGTGCAGCACTGCATTGCATGGCACGGTGCAGCACTGCATTGCACGGCAGCATGCAGCATTGCATTGCACGGCAGCATGCAGCATTGCATTGCACTGTGCAGTGCAGCATTGCATTGCACACTGCAGAGCTGCATTGCATTGCATTTTACGGTGCAGTGTGACACTGCTGGGCTGCGTGGGGTGCCCAGCACTCACTGGAAGGCATCTCTCCGCCGCACTGACGGGGCCTTGGTGCCCAGCGAGCCAGGGAGGCTCTCGAAGCCGAGCGCGTAGACAGGGATGTGGGCCAGCTTCTTGGAAGGCATCTTCATCTGCCAGGCAGGCACCGGGTGTCAGCGTGGGACACAGCACGTCCCAGCGCCATCACCACGGCCCTCGCTTACCTTGAGGCTGCAGGAGCTGCAGACAGACCTGGGGCACAGGGAGAGGTTGGTGAGCGGAGCAGCCTGGGGGCACCCGCTTGCCCCCCGCCAGCCCTGCCATGTGGCAGGACACGGCCCCATGCAGCGCTGCCCGGTGCAACATGACACAGTGCAACACAGCACAGCGTGTCACGGCATGGTGCAGGGCAGCACGGCACAGTGCTGCATGGCACGGCACGGTGCATCGCAGGGCACAGTGCATCGCATGGCATGGTGCATTGCAGGGCACGGTGCATCGCAGGGCACGGTGCATCGCA